AATAATAATAATAATAATAATAATAATAATAATAATAATAATAATAATAATAAGAATTACAATAATAAGCTTAACCATAATAATTACAATAATCATAATAATTATTTCAATAATAATTATTGTAATAATACTAATAATCATCAATACATTAATCAATTTTATAATAATTGACATAACCCTAATTAAATAATTAGGATTAAAACGAAATAATTAATTTAAAATTATAAAAGAAGTAAAATGAAGGCAAAAAATAGAAATAAATAAGTAAATAAAAATTTTAGAAGATTAAAAATAAAAAGGAGACTATCAAATAGATTAAAGATAGATTAAGAAAATAAAAGAATAAATTAAAGACTATACAAATTGCTCCTGAATTGCCTGACGAACCTTATAAAACTGGTCCAATAAGTTAACATCTTGGAATAACAATAAGAAAGCCTGTACTTTAATATTTTCTAGGTTTTTGATTTATCATTATAAGTGCAATAAATTTGTTAATATTTAATTTTAAACTATAAGAATTAGAGAGATTATAAAATCAAGAAAAGGTATATGGAAACAGAATAGATTTGATTAGATTAATTTTATAATAATAATTAAAAAAAATGAAAAAATTGGTGGTAGCATAAAAGTCCATAGGATTTATTCGATCAATTAGAGAAATCTTTGATGAAGAATATAATGAACATGCTTAAGAATATGATGAAATATTATAGAGTTTAAAAGGAAAATAATAGTAGTTTACGGATAGTAATTTTCCTCCTTAGAGCAGTTCATTAAGTTTATAAGAATTACCAAGGAGTAAAAAAATAAAAAAAAGTAGGTTGGAAAAATTTGAGTTGGAAAAGAGCAAATGAGATTTTCGAAGATTGTGAAATATACAATGGATTTATATAGCCATCAGACATAAAACAAGGAATATTGGGAGATTGTTATTTTTTATGTGCCCTTAGTGTGATAGCAGAGAAATGCGAATTAGTAAAGCGTCTATTTCATAACAATGAAGTGAATGATTATGGATTATATGCAGTATGGTTAAATATAAATGGAGAATGGACATCTATAGTAGTTGATGATTATTTTCCATGTATAGATAATTAACCAGCCTTTAGTAGAGCAAATGGATTATGGGTAATGCTATTAGAGAAGGCATATGCAAAAGTTTATGGATCATATTTGAATATAGAAGGAGGTAATCCAGCAATAGCAATGCGAGATTTAACAGGAGCACCATATGAAAATAAAGAAAATGGTTCAGCCTAAGAATTTTGGGATTATTGTGAATAAAACCATGAATAAGGATTTTTATTAACAGCATATACAAAAGAAGCAGAATTAGTTAATCATGAAAATGAATTAGGATTGTTAGCAGGACATGCATATGCAATATTAAAATTGGCTAATGTATAAGATTCTAATAATAAAATATGTAGAATAATGTAAATGAGAAATGTAATTTTAAACATATATTATTTATTATAGCCATGGGGAAGAGTAGAATGGAAAGGGGATTGGTGTGATAATAGTAAAAAGTGGACAGAATAAACAAAATAATAATATAGTGTAGAGGATAATGATGATGGTATTTTTTGGATGTCAATCGAAGATTTTAGAACATTTTTTGCAGGTATTGGAGTTTGCAAAATATAAAATGATTATATTTATAATAGTATTCAATGTTAGTTGAATGAAAATAATTGCTGCATAATACATTTGGATATGGTAGAAGATTCTCATATTTATATTTCATTCAATTAAAATGATAATAGATTTCATCTTAATTAAATACCTGATTATAGATATTCCTTTGTCAGAATCATTGTATCATAATTAATTAATGATTCACTCAAGTATATTTCAGGCATTTATAGAGCTGATAGAAATGTTGTAGTTGATCAAAATTTAAAAAAAGGTTAATATTTAATTTTTATTGAATTATAATGGCAATATTCATAAATCTAAATCATTAGCACTTTAAGTACTTATGCAAGCAAAAAAGCAAAACTTAAACGCATTAATGGTTTGGATTATTTAAATTCTATCAGAAATATCATTAAAGATTATTCTGATAATAATCCTAATAAACTTAAAGAAATTAATTATTTAGATCAATACAATAAAAATATATTTAAAAGAATTGGAATCATTGATGGATATTTATTCCTTCATTACCAAAATCAAACATTTGATAGTATTTTATAAGAAGTTATTAATTTTACTGATACTATTGGTTATATTCCAATATCACCTTTAGAGTCAAATAATTTTATAAATGATGGATAATTAAAAATTTAATTTACATCACCTCCTTAATCTGTTGTCATCATATTGCTATCTTAAGTAAAATTCTTTAATGAAATTAGGTTAGAAGTTCTATTGGGAAATGTTAATATACTTAACAATCATAAAGTTAGATAGTGTGTATTCCACAAAAACATGATTAATATGATAATAACAAATTCATTCTAAAACAATTGAATCTTTCTTAGATGCAATTAGTAGGAAGACATAAATTGAATGTTAAATATTATTAAGCACATTTAAATTCTAAAACTAAGAATTCAAACTTAATAAAAATTTTTCAACCTTAACCAGAAAATATAGAAGTATCTAATTTAGAAACTTCACTGTTTTATTACTTTCATGATTTTCTTTCAGGTATTTAATTCTTTATTTCTAGAAAATTGGGAACCTTTTATATTTTACACAATACTTCTAAATTTGTTATTAATCATTATCTTAAATAATCATAGAACTCATCTTGCTTAAGTAATCAAATATAAATATTCTAGATTACCAATTTATTAATATTCATTTGTTAAATTTTTGATGGTCAAAAATTAAAAAAATCTATTATACGTACAATATCCAAAGCATAATTTATTTTCATATTTTTAGAGATTTTAATTCGATTGTTGGGTTTTGAATCATTATATTTTGCACTACCTTCAAGTCAATTGAGTCTTTTTTATAAGTTTTTACTTATTATTACTATTCTACTTAATTTCTTACTTTTTGTGTGTATACTCAAATTCCTTATTCATTATGAGACTATTGAAACTGAAATTTTCAATCCAATGAAAATAAGGTACAAAATATATCCTTATTTAGATTTAATAATTATTTTAATAAATTGCCATCAGTATGATATGTTTTTGATAATATATGTATTAATTTATAATTTTTCTAATAATAATTAATTTCTTATCATTTTTTTTAATTTGGAATTTCAAGTTAATTAAATTATTTAATTGGTGAGTATTAAGTCTAAGGAGCTTCATAACTATATAAATGATCTGACAATTTTCTTTTTGGTTTTATTTCCTCTTTATTTTCTCTTTTGGATAATCCCATCATGCTATTTCTTCTATTAAATTACATTGTTTCAGCTTTCTCTTTTTTAATTTAATGTTTTCTGTTGAAATCAATCATATCTCTATCAGATATATCTGGATTAGTTTCAGAATCTTAAAATGAACAATAAAATTACCCAAAGGAATAAATTGATCATCTGATCTAGGGTATTCTTATTCAATATTTGTTGGTTAATCTTAAGCTATTACTGAATAATTGGTATTTTCGGTTGATTGTTATATTTATTCTTCATCAGATTAAGTTTTTTGTTATTATTATTAATTTTCAGTATTTTATTAGTCTTATTCCACATTTTAATTAAAACTTTAACGAATTGTATTTTAATCAGAACTTAAGGTCATAGATTATACTATTTAGTTATTTATTTCCTCCTCATTTTCATTAATATAATTTGGATTTTATCCTAACAGATATTAATTTTCATTCTAAAATATTGTTTATTGACGATTAATGTAAATCTACCATTTTTCCTCTTAAAAATCATCTTTCAACACATAAGAAAGCTAATTTGCCATACCTTAAAATCCTTTAGTTATCTATTTTTTAATTAATCCTACCTAATATTTATATTAAGAATTCAATTCTTCTAAAAATCCAAGAACATTTGCTTCTAAATAAGCTTACTTAATCTCATTATATTCTTAATTTTTCATTACTAATTAAATAATTTCTAAAAATAGATTTTAAATTTTATTATTGAATTCATGCTTTTGAATCAATTGCATAATTGCTAAACACACATATGAATGCTAAAAGCAATTTATTAATTATAGGTCATTAAGTTTTAATACTTTCAAATAAAACTCTATTAATTTTAATTTAAATTATCCTAAAGGTTCTTAGTTTATTCCATAAGTAGTTTAAAATTAAGCTATTAATTAAAAAATTTTATACATAAATTTAATTATGTTTTAAGCAAATCTACTAAATAATAGCTAAGTTCTTATAATAATGTATAATTATAAATTATTCTATTTTAAATTGGTTTGTGCTCCTACTAAGTGTAATCTAGTAATACTATGAATAAATCAACTAAATCACTTGATTTACTAATAAACTAAATAATTATAAAATGTATAATACAAAGGTATTATATTGAAGTGATGAATTCATTATTTATTATATAAATATTTCTTTTTCTTCGTTGTCACTTATTTCCGTCAAAATATTTCTTAAAATATAACACACATTCTCCACAACAAGGTTATCATAATTTTTATTTTACATATAATAAATTATACGAAGTAATAATTCTGATCTCTAATATAAATATACATCTCCATTTTCTTATCTTACAGTATCAAATCGAATTAGGTTAAATAATATATCTGCTATATGATGCACATCCAAATGTTTAATAAAATCTTCTAATACATTTTAACTCTCCTTTTGAGGATATGTTAAATATTACCAAAGCTTAAATTAATATTCTTATAGAATTACATGAAATCCTCTTTTATCAATAATAGCTTTCATAATTTTTCCAAAATACCCTGCCAAAGTGTTATCAATGTAATCCCTGTCTATAATCTTAAATAAAAAGTTAAGGAATTCGAACTCTTCTAAACCTCTTGGAGAAAAAAAATAATCTATGATCAATTCCTCTTTGCTTCCAATTATTTCACTCACAATAAAAGGATACCTATAATCATTTTTAAAAACTTATATCGTACTTTTTAGGAATGCTTTCTAAATCATCATCTTCTATTATAATAATTATTGACAACATTTCCCAAAAGCGTTCTGGAGTTTATGTTACACTAACAGTTTATTCTCAAAAATACTATTCACCAAATAATCTGCAATTTTATTTTGTATTTAACAACTCTTCTTAATCTAAGGCATCTCTAATTTTCGCATTTGGATTATCCTTAAAGTATTAATCTATTGCACTTAGTGCTCTTAACTAATTTTTGTATTAGCCCCTTTTTCTATTAATTCATAAAATATTCAAATACTTCATCAAAAGAATGATAAAAATAATATTTTTTATTTTTTTTAATCTTTAAACAAATCAAAAAAGACCTTTTCGATTCAAATTTTCTAATTAACTACTTTTTTTAATTATTTAAACTTTCAAAATTTTGAATCTTTAATGCAAAACAATCTTTTACATAGAATTTTTAATCTTAAGACTAAATTTTGAATCGTTAATAAATAAATTAAAATAACTTTGGTATACTTTTCTAACCTTTACTCTTAATTTAAATTTAATGGAATTCAATAAAATTCATTTAGTAAAAAGTATTAGAACAAGTTATAGAACAATTCTTAAAATTGAGTGATATGAATCAGTTGAATTATTACTTAAAATACTTATTTATTTTTCTATTATGATTTATTGTAAAAATTTATAATTAATCAGAATAGCGACGTTTGATTCATCAATCTCAGACGAACGAGACCGAGTTTATCCTCATATAAAAATACTATAATTCTTAAATAATAATAAACTTTTATTAAAACTAATTAATATTATGGGATAATTAATTGAAAAAATTAGTTAATGATGAATGCAAAATAAATAATATGAACAAAATACTTTGATTATTTTTCAAATTTTTAGCCCATAAGAGAATGAGTTGTTTATCTTTTAATGGATTTTGAACGATCTCTTAAGAATTAATCAAAAATAATAGTATAATTGACCATTCTATATAATTTCTTTTCCTTATAATATGATAGTTTAATTAATGAATAGCAAAACTTTACAAAAAGGAGCTTTATTATTTGATTAATGAATTTGGAATTGTTTTTGTAATTTATTAAATAAGAATAAATAATATTAAGTTGATGTAAAAGTAATCTTTTGAGTGTCAGTTAATTAGACTTAAAAGAAATTCATATTTTATAAGCTTTCATAATAGAGTAATAGAATAAAAAGTTTAGAATCAATGAATTAGAACAAAATAATCTTGAACTTAATAAAAATGTTTTAGATTTTTTTTTGTTTTTTTTTTTTGAAGAAAAAATGAAATAAAAATACTCCAGATGGCAAATATAAATTTATATGAGTAGATTTTACTTAAAGTTAAAGGCTCTCTTGTACAATTATTTTATAGTAATTTGCATGTTTAATATTCATGTGAACATTAAATACATTAGTAATCATTATATAAATA